GTCGCCGGGGCCCTGTCCGAGCTCGGCGCCGCATTGCCCCCGCGGCGCCGCTCGCCATGTTGGCGATAAAACCGAGCTTCTCGATCACCTTCTCGTTCCGGGCGGCGATGTTCTGTTCTGCTTCGCGACCTGCTGCGAGACGTCGAGGGCGTGCTCCTCGACGCGGCGGAACAGCGTGGAAGTCGGCGGCTGCGGCGGCCCAGTAGAGCTCTGGCCTCAAGCAGCCGCGGAAGCGGGGCCGCGGGGAAGGGGGAGGGGGGGGGGGGGGGCCGAACGTTCGCGCTGCGCAGAACGAAAATGGCGAGAGTCCTGTGGCCCTGCCACGTGTTCGCGATTGAGGGAAGCTGAACGGGCCGGAAGCTCATGGCCCCGCGCGATCCTGACTCGGGATGGGCTGAGATGGTGAGAACCCCAGGGCCCTACCACAAGTTCGTGACTTGGGAAAGCTGAAGTGGTGAGAATACTGCGCCCCCCCCCCGCCCCCCGCGCGCGTTCCTGACTCAGGAAAGGAAGAGAAAGTGAGGACCCCATAGCCCTGCCGCGCGTTAGCGAAAAACGCATGTTAACTTCAAACTCGACTCGGTCACCGCCACGGGCTCACTCCTGTTCCCAAGCCAACGTGGCGACTTGTCCATTGTGGAAAATACAAAACTCGCGACGCGCGCGTCCGCGCGCGCGCGTTCGGGCGACGCACGCGCGGCCGCGTCACTCGAAATGCCGCAGGTTACCCGTTAACTGAAAATCAAATCGGTCGCCATTAAGTGCCCACTTTAGTTTCAAAGCCAACGTGGCAATCATTCCATTGTGGACAAAAAAAACTGGCCACGCGCGCGTGTCACTCGAAGTCCCGTTGATTACCCGTTACGGCTTCACTGTAGATCCCAAGCAAATTTGGCGACTGTTCCAGTATGCAAAATACAAAACTCGCCACGCGCGCGTCCGCGCGCACGCGCGATCGGCTGACACACGCGCGGACGTGTCATCCGAAATCCTGCTGATCACTGCTAGGGGCTCGCATCAGTTAACCCGCCAACATAACGACTTTTTCTATGTCTGACCAAATCGGAAAACGAATGCGAACGTCAAACTCCAATCGGCCACGATGGCCCTGCCTCACGGTCTTCACTCGGAAAGGGCTGAGAAAGTGAGAACCTCAGAGACCTGCCACACGTTCGTGACCTGGGAAAGCTGACCTGGTGAGAACCCCACAGCCCCGCCACACGTTCGTGACTTGCGAAAGCTGAAATGGTGAAACCCCCGTTGCCATGCCACACGTTTTTGATGATGTTGCCAGTCAACATAAGAAGATAATACGTATGATTCGCAATCTTCCCCCGCGATAACAAGTTTGGCCTTGCCGCCCCTCTCCGCCGACCAAATCTGCACTGGCTGGGGATAGTTAGCTCTCAGGCCTGAAAGGGGGGTACCCTTCCAATCAGGGGTCGGGGCTACTTGTTGCATCTACTCGAAGTCCAATCGCCGTCACCTGCGCCGGCGGTATCATGGCCTCGACTGAACCGTCTCCTTTTATCCTTTTCGCAATCCTGGCCTTTGTCGTTCACCCTGCGGCTACTAGACTTGCACAAAGCCCCATGCCCGTCTACCCCCCTTCTTTTCCTTCATCGCGACCCCGACCCTCGGTCTTGGCCGCTCGAGCGTCGGCGGGGGCATCATCTGTTCGACTGCTCCCGCGCTCTCTTTCGGCGCCCGCCTCCGCAGGAGGGGGCGGGGGCCTATTAAGCCTGCCAGTCGCAGGGGCAGCTGCGGCATGCTCGGCAGGGGACTGAAGCTCCGTTTCAGGGAAACTGTTCACCACTAGCATGGCCACCGTGGCGTACCATAAGCCGCGATCATTTAATACCTGGCCCATTTTGTCGCACGCATTTTCCGACGAAGCGGCCTCGCTAAAGAAGCAGCCCCTACAGAGGATGTCGAGAAGGCGCCTTGAACCGATGGCCCCGCGAGTCCTTTCAGTCGAGGTGAAGACCAAGGGTCCATCAGCGAGGCGTTTTCAACATCAAATCCGACGGTCCACCACAAGAAGGGCTCGAGAGCGTCAGAGTCGTCGTCCCCCTTCAAGTTCGGCGGCAGCGGCCGTAAGGCTTTCCCGGTACTCCGATGGGCTCGGTTACAGGGAGCGCCAATGACTCGCCGGGGGCGTCTTCATTCCAGGCCGCTGGCGGCTTTCAACCTTCAACGCCAGAGCTGGGGTCGCCGCAACGTCGTCACGACACGAACCTGCCGTCAGCGCTACTTTGAATGGAGAATGTGACGCACTCCTGCGCACATGCGGCCGCGGCGCAATCAACAACGATGGTGACGACAAGCAAGCGACGCTGATGCAGAATAACGCGACCCGGTAAAATAAAGCACGTATCGTCAAGAACATCTGCCGCCCGTCCTTCCTCCTCAACGTTCTTGCTTCTCAGGGCCCTACCACAAGTTCGTGACTTGGGAAAGCTGAAGTGGTGAGAATACTGCGCCCCCCCCCCCCGCCCCCCGCGCGCGTTCCTGACTCAGGAAAGGAAGAGAAAGTGAGGATCCCATAGCCCTGCGGCGCGTTAGCGAAAAACGCATGTTAACTTCAAACTCGACTCGGTCACCGCCACGGGCTCACTCCTGTTCCCAAGCCAACGTGGCGACTTGTCCATTGTGGAAAATACAAAACTCGCGACGCGCGCGTCCGCGCGCGCGCGTTCGGGCGACGCACACGCGGCCGCGTCACTCGAAATGCCGCAGGTTACCCGTTAACTGAAAATCAAATCGGTCGCCATTAAGTGCCCACTTTAGTTTCAAAGCCAACGTGGCAATTATTCCATTGTGGACCAAAAAAAACTGGCCACGCGCGCGTGTCACTCGAAGTCCCGCTGGTTACCCGTTAAGGCTTCACTGTAGATCCCAAGCCAATTTGGCGACTGTTCCAGTATGCAAAATACAAAACTCGCCACACGCGCGTCCGCGCGCACGCGCGATCGGCTGACACACGCGCGGGCGTGTCATCCGAAATCCTGCTGATCACTGCTAGGGGCTCGTATCAGTTAACCCGCCAACATAACGACTTCTTCTATGTCTGACCAAATCGGAAAACGAATGCGAACGTCAAACTCCAATCGGCCACGATGGCCCTGCCTCACGGTCTTCACTCGGAAAGGGCTGAGAAAGTGAGAACCTCAGAGACCTGCCACACGTTCGTGACCTGGGAAAGCTGACCTGGTGAGAACCCCACAGCCCTGCCACACGTTCGTGACTTGCGAAAGCTGAAATGGTGAAACCCCCGTTGCCATGCCACACGTTTTTGATGATGTTGCCAGTCAACATAAGAAGATAAAACGTTTGATTCGCAATCTTCCCCCGCGATAACAAAGTTTGGCCTTGCCGCCCCTCTCCACCGACCAAATCTGTATTGGCTGGGGATAGTTAGCTCTCAGGCCTGAAAGGGGGGTACCCTTCCAATCAGGGGTCGGGGCTACTTGTTGCATCTACTCGAAGTCCAGTCGCCGTCACCTGCGCCGGCGGTATCATGGCCTCGACTGAACCGTCTCCTTTTATCCTTTTCGCAATCCTGGCCTTTGTCGTTCACCCTGCGGCTACTAGACTTGCACAAAGCCCCATGCCCGTCTACCCCCCTTCTTTTCCTTCATCGCGACCCCGACCCTCGGTCTTGGCCGCTCGAGCGTCGGCGGGGGCATCATCTGTTCGACTGCTCCCGCGCTCTCTTTCGGCGCCCGCCTCCGCAGGAGGGGGCGGAGGCCTATTAAGCCTGCCAGCCGCAGGGGCAGCTGCGGCATGCTCGGCAGGGGACTGAAGCTCCGTTTCAGGGAAACTGTTCACCACTAGCATGGCCACCGTGGCGTACCATAAGCCGCGATCATTTAATACCTGGCCCATTTTGTCGCACGCATTTTCCGACGAAGCGGCCTCGCTAAAGAAGCAGTCCCTACAGAGGATGTCGAGAAGGCGCCTTGAACCGATGGCCCCGCGAGTCCTTTCAGTCGAGGTGAAGACCAAGGGTCCATCAGCGAGGCGTTTTCAACATCAAATCCGACGGTCCACCACAAGAAGGGCTCGAGAGCGTCAGAGTCGTCGTCCCCCTTCAAGTTCGGCGGCAGCGGCCGTAAGGCTTTCCCGGTACTCCGATGGGCTCGGTTACAGGGAGCGCCAATGACTCGCCGGAGGCGTCTTCATTCCAGGCCGCTGGCGGCTTTCAACCTTGAACGCCATAGCTGGGGTCGCCGCAACGTCGTCACGACACGAACCTGCCGTCAGCGCTACTTTGAATGGAGAATGTGAAGCACTCGTGCGCACATGCGGCCGCGGTGCAATCAACAACGATGGTGGCGACAAGCAAGCGACGCTGATGCAGAATAACGCGACCCGGTAAAATAAAGCACGTATCGTCAAGAACAACTGCCGCCCGTCCTTCCTCCTCAACGTTCTTGCTTCTCACTTTTATCCATCGTCCATCCTACTTCTATCTCTCATTACCCTCCTCCCTCCACCCCGCAACCTTGATTACAACTCCCTCCGCCCCTTCCTCCCCACTCCTCCGCAGTGCCCCCCCGAGGCTCCCCCAATCTTCCGCCTCCCAAAACTCCGGCGCCGTGATCCTTGCATAGCTCCCGGAGGTCTGGACCCCTTCCTCAAGCCAGGTTCTTCATCCCGTATCCGTGTGCAATGGCCCCAGAGCCCAGAAACGGCCAGCAGAGAGCGGAAATTGCCAAAAACCTCCCGTCGCGAATTTCTCACGACACCCGGGGGGGTCTGCGATCCCCGGAGCTTCTTCCCTGCGCGTGCGGAACAGCTCGACGAACTTCAACCCACTTGCAACACCGCCTCCAAGAGGTCTTCGGGCCGATCGCTGCAGTGCCATGTTCGTGCTGGTGTCTGACTCGGAGAAGAGGCCCCTACAAACGGGGACGATATGCGCTCCCCGGCACTCCACCCTGACTGAAACGCCAAACCTTCAGATTCCAGAGCCCCGGAGCCGCACGCTGCCCCGCCTCCTCTCGGCAACGCCGCCCCAGGGCCAGCTGCACGACGGTGTCCGTGGGGAGGCCTCGGCGCGAGGGGGGTAGAGGGATGCCAGAAAAGAGGACGATCTCCTCGGGCAGCGCAAATTTGTCTTGAGCACGCGGCCGTGAGATGCTGGCCTGACATTCTGGCATTGCAGATGGCAGGCCCCAGAGGCGGGGGGCAGGGGTGATCTACCAGTCGCAGGTCATGATACTCGCTGCGCCCAGACGAGCTCGAAGGTGCGTGCAGCGATGCAGCTGCAGGAAGTGGAAGGAGGGAATGCAGGAACGACCCAGCCCCCCCGTGCGTCGCGAAACAAAAGATTGCTCGCCGTTTGTGGCATCTGGCGGCCCTTGCCGGGCCCCAGGCCATCTAAAAGCGCGTCGGGATAAAAACCTTGCCCTGGGAAGGTGTCGAGACCGCCGGGGACGCATCGCAACTTCGGGGGCATTATGACGCAGGATGGATGAGGAGCGAAGGGAAGGAAGGAAGGAGAGGCGAGAACGAAGGTGTGGGAGCGAGGACACGTGTGTGACGGATGTGTTGAAATTGGCGCTGGTTCGTCAGTCCCCACGCTACTGGTCTGCGTTGCCACCTCGTCTCCTGCCTTGCCGCCTCGTCGTCCTGCGTCGCGCCTCGTCGTCGCCCTGCCTTGCCGTCTCGTCGTCGCCGTATGGCTGCACTGTTCCTCCACTTGTACCCTGTCGCACTGGCTGCTGCCCGCCCACGCAGCCCAGGCCCGGGTATGCGTATGGCTTAGTTGGTCCCATTCGATCACTGCCCCATCTTCTGAAGGGCCGGCCGCACGCGTTTCTTGCTTGCTCGGGCGCACTTTCTACGCTTCGTCGCTGCGCGCGAGGCCGCGATCGTCAAGCAAGAGTGTGTGACAGAGGGAGCAAGGGACGGGGGGCCAAACGTATTCAGGAAATTTGATGAGCTAGCGAGCGACGCGCTGGTCCAGCCTGGGCTTGCGGCAGTGGCGGCGTGGCCTGTGGCTTCAGTCGCCGCACGGGCCGTTCCACTCCGAATCATCTCCGCTGCGTGGGCTCCTCCCCAAGGGCTGTCGACTGTATCTTTCGTGTGGATTTTGCGCCTTGGGTTGCTGTCTGCAGGTCCCTGGGGCCGAAACGGGTCCCTCCTTGAGGTTTCGCACCTGCCGACGTCGCCGCGCCCCATCCTCCGTCGTTCAAACTTTTTCGCGACGTCGGCCCCGTGGGTTTCGAACACTTCCCCGTGGCCAGCTGCTCATCCACAGTCTCTGTTTGACGTCCCCGAGCCAAGGGAAGATCTCTAGGAACGGAAAACGACAAAACACCAGCAGTCACTATGCTTTTGCGTCGCCCGGATCTGAGGGTTCTCCTCCTCCTCTTCATCCTCCCATCGCCCCTCGTCCTCCGCATCCTACCGTAGCTCTGCCTGCTGCTGCTGCTGCTGCTGCTGCTCCTCATTATCCTCTTGACTCCACGCCTCCTCGTCCCTGATATCGCACCCCCGACCTGTCTCACAGGGGTGCGCTCGGACTTGCGTTCTCGAGGCAGGTCGAGCTGGCGTTACCCTCCCCAGGAGACCTTGAACAACAACAATGTTGTTAACTAGCCTGGCAAAGAACCCAACCCATGGTACACGAATGGCGACAAGTCGCAGGAACGCTTGATGCACACGAACGTACTGACAGATCTGCAACACTCCTGGACGCCTCACCAAAAAAACGGAAAACTACACTTCAAGCCGATCCACTCACGCACGCAGTCGCACGACTAAAATCAGACACGAGGAGGGGTGCGCCGAGTTAAGGGTGAAATTACATGCGAACCCTGCCACTGGGGCCCTCGGTGGGGCTCCCTATGGGGCCACGAAACGTGTGCGGGGTGCGCCTGCATGAGGGTGTCACTGCATGCGAACCCTGCCGCTGAGGCCCTCGGTGGCGCAAACGGGCCCGGGTGCGAACACTGCCGCTGGGGCCTTCGGTGGAGCTCCATATGGGGCCACGAAGCGTGTGAGGGGTGTGGCGGCATGGACCCAGGTACGCATGCGAACCCTGCCACTGGAGCCTTCGGCGGAGCTCCCTATGTTGCCACGAAACGTGTGACGGGTGTGCCGACATGGACTCGGGTACGCATGCGAACCCTGCCACTAGAGCCTTCGGTGCAACTCCCTGTAGGGCCACGAAACATTTGAGAGGTGTGGTGAAATGGACCCGGGTACGCATGCGAACCCTGCCATCGGAGCCATCGGTCGAGCTCCCTACGGTGCCACGAAACGTGAGAGGGGTGTGCCGAAATGGACCCGGGTACGCATGCGAACCCTGCCACTGGGGCCTTCGGTGGAGCTCTCAATGGAGCCACGAAACGTGTGAGAAGTGTGCGGACATGGACCTGGGTACGCAGGTGAAACCTGCATCTACAGCTTTCGGTGGAGCTCTTTGGGTGACCCAAAAGGGGGTCCAGCTGAAAAGGGGTGGTGCAATAGATTGGGGCACTTGTATTGCAAATGTGCTGCGCCGGAGAATTGTGTTGCATTGTATTGCAATTCATGTATTGCACGCGGAAATGAAGCAATACATTTGCGACCCGGAATGTATTGCACGCCCCCCTAAATTTATTGCAACCCCAAAAATGTATTACACCAAATCTATTGCACCACCCCCTTGTCGCTGGACCCCCTTTTGGGTCAACCCGAAGCTCCTAATGGGGCCACGAAACGTGTGAAAGGTGTGCCGAAATGGACCCGGGTACTCATGCGAACCCTGCCACTGGAGCCTCCATTCGATCTCCCTATGCTGCCACGAATCGCGTGAGGGATGTGCCGACATGGGCTCGGGTACGCATGCGAACCCTGCCACTGGAGCCTTCGGTGCAGCTCCCTATGGGGCCACGAAACGAGTGAGGGGTGTGGCGAAATGGAACCAGCTACGCATGCGAACCCTGCCACTGGGGCCTTCGGTGGAGCTCCCAATGGGGCCACGAAACGAGTGAGGGGTGTGGCGATATGGACCCAGATACGTATGCGAACCCCGCCAGTGGGGCCTTCGGTGGAGCTCCCAATGGGGCCACGAAACGTGTGAGGGGTGTGCCGAGATGGACCTGGGTACGCATGCGAACCCTGCCACTGGAGCCATCGGTGGAACTCCCGATGGTGCCACGAAACGTGTCGCCTTAAGTCGTGTTGAAAGTTGATACAAGCGGGGCCTTCGGCAGAGCTCATTAAAAGGGCCCAAACACACAGGAAGGGGAGGAGGAGGGAGGAGGGAGGGAAGAAGACGCGCGGCGCTGTACATTCAAAACAAGGACCCAACACACAGGAGGGTTGGGGGAAAACTCCAAGACCCCCTATCCCCCTCCCTCTCTCCCTCTCCCTTCCCCTCCGTGTTTATTTCTGCCGTCTCGGCTCAGGTCCTGGCTAGGGCAGCCGCCATAAAGTGCCAAGCCTTGCTTGCCTTCATGACATCCACCTTTCCCACCCCCGCCCTCACCATTATCCTCCTTCTCCTCCCTCCCTCCCTCCCTCAACAACTACTCAATACGGCTACTACTCTCCCTTCTGCCCTGACACTGTGCGGAAAATGTCCCGCCCCCTGGTTCTCCTACGGTTTGCTTCAATCGGAAAATTTGGTGTTTCAGAATGGTGCCCCCAGTGCAGCAGGGACCTCTTTTTAGGATCGGCGTTGTCCTCCCCTCGATCAAAATTGCGTTCTCGCCCGAGCATGGGAATCTGTTCTGGATCCGAGACCTTCCTGTCGTTGTCGCCTCGCTCCTTGACCCTCCCTGGCCTTCCACTGGCCATCGTGCTCCTCCCGCTCCTGTCACTCCCGCTCATTTTCATGCTGCTGCTGATTTTCCTCGCCCTCTTTCTGCCTCGCTATTGTCCTCCTCCTCCTCCACCTCCTCCTCCTCCTTCTCCTCCTCCGCCTCCTGCTCATAATCCTGATCATTCGCCACCTCCTCCTCCTTATCCACGTTATCCTGCTCATCCGCCTTCTCATTCGCCACCTCATCGATGAGCTCCTTATGGGGGTGCCAAGTCCGCTATGACACCCGTCGGCAGATAGAGGAACAGCGCGAGGGTGGGAGGAGTAATATTACAGATATGGCGCACGCGCGCCAAACTTGCCATTGTCCTCCTCTTCTCCTAGAGTCGCATTACGTACGCGCTGCACGGCAACAGGCTCCTACCGTACGAGGACGGGGTCGCGGCCGAGCTAGAGGCCAAGCTCAAGGAGAACCCCGAGGATCCCAACATCCCCGTGAAAGGCCTCATGATCAGCCCAGTGGAGGTCCCGTCAGAGATGATGCAGATCCCAGGGCTCTGGATTCCAGTCGAACAGTTGATCAGCGAGGCTCTGCGGGGGATGGGAGGAGACGTGAAGATGAATCGAGCCCCTCGCAACAACATGGCCCGCCAGCTCGGCGGGAAACGCAGGGGGGGCAAGAAGTAAGTGAGTGAGTCACACCTGCGGCCACGCCCTCGCGCTGGGCCGCTTCCAGCAGACCATCAGCCTGCTGCCCGCATCTTCTTAATCTTCTCTTTGCCTGTGTATATGTTTGCAGTTGCATGTCTTTCTCAGTTGTGTCGCACACGTGCGCGGTGTTTCCATTTCAGCGATGTTGCCTGTCCTTCTGTATTATACTCTTTGTTTGTCAGAGCAGCTGTTGTATGTGCAGCGGAATCAGCAGAATGTAAGGTGTTGCGGTAGCAGCATGGTTGCCAGCATGGCGAGTTGTCGAAATGGGTGGCGTAGCAATGTCTATCGAGCCCCAGCCCGAGCCAGAGCATAACAGTCAGTGGATGGTCTTGAAGGGCTTGAGTACTGTACTGTACTCCTCCCCCTCCTCATCCTCGCTTTCCCCCCCGAATCGGTCGGATCACAACCGAATTAGAGCTGACGATAACCTCACCTCCAAACAATGGAAAAGCTCTCTTTGGGCGGCCTCTTACGAGCTCCTGCGTGGCCCCTCACGAGCCTCTGCGCGGGCTCTCGCGCGCCTCGGAGAGGGCTTCTGAGAGGCTTCTGCGAGACTGCTGCAAAGCTTCGGCGAGACTTCT